AATGTACAAACAAGGAGCTTGTGTATTTCATAGAGAAATGAAAGCAAATTATGTTGGCCTGCTGGTGGCAAGTCCGATTGCCCATGCCGGCAAATGGTAACACAAGCTGGGTGTTCGAGTTATCATACGCCGTCATCTCAGAATTCCATTGTGAGATACGCGGCAGCTTTTGGGATGAAATTTAGCGCGAGAGGCGTTGATGTGGCTTTTGAGGTCGGTGAATGGAGGCAGCTAAACTTGTTTGTGCTCATACGGTCTTTGTTAGCTACATGCGAGATACCTTGCAATAGAGAATGCTGTATAGTACCGATAACGCGTTTCAGCCGGGTGAAATATTCTGTTTGGTCCGTTACACACTCAAGGCCTGGGAGTTCGAGTTATCATACGCCGTCATCTAAGAATTCAAATATGAGATACGCGGTACCTTTTGAGATGAAATTTAGCGCGAGAGGCGTTGATGTGACTTTGGCCTCGGTCAATTGAGGCAGCCAAACTTGTTTGTGCTCATACGATTTTTGTTGGCTACATGCGAGATACCTTGCAATAGAGAATGCTGTATAGTACCTATAACGCGTTTCAGCCGGGCGAGATATTATGTTTGGTCCGTTACACACACACACACACACACACACGGACATGGGCAATCCTACAGGTCGGGGCCCCCCTGGGCGCTTCGCGCTGGGGCCCCGCCCAAAAAATATATTGGTATAACTGCAACAGACATCGACTCGCGGCTTAACCGGTTGTTAGTTAGTTGGGTTAATTGGGTTAGTTCGGTCGTTTGCCGGATGCCCATGCTGGCCTTCAGGACAAAGAATGCAAATCAATAAACGTGTCGTCCGCCTCCCCTCCACACGCCACGCAGCACACGCGAATATAAATGAAATGTACTGAACTACTAGACTGGACTCTGGGAGCATCTGGGTCCACATCATGTACGACGTCCTTATCCCCTCGTCCCAAAGCTTTACCGGGCGGTCAATTGTCAATTGAAATCTGTCAGTCAATCAGGCCAAGAGCCAGGAGTCCGTCAAGGAAGCATGAGGCAAAGCATGAAGAAGAACAAGCGTGCTAATGGAAGTCCCCTGTAATTTACGTTAACGCTCGCTTTGGCTGTGTGACACATCATCCATGTCATCACTCAGACGCCACGGTACATTTGTCCAGATGCCAATCAGCCAATAGTTCGTCATATGCTAGCTAATTTAATATTTGCTCGTGTAACGAGGCGCAAATGGATCTCTATGCTGACGTACGCTGACAGCCAATTGCCCAGCTGATCGTGCTCCTCCGCCTCGTCCTCCTCCTCCTTACTAACATCATCATCATCATCATCATCATCATCATCATCATCATCAGCAGCAGCAGCAGCAGCGGCACACACGCACGCGTGCACACACACACATACAACCCGTCTCAGGCGTTGCGTTCAGGCCGACTCAGTGCCCGATCCTCGCCCTTTGCGCTGTGGTGAAAATCCTGCTACCTGCTCCTCCTGCACTGAACTCACTTCATCAGCATCCACTCCAACTGGGCAGTGTAGCTGCTCGCAGTGCGAATCGAACCAGGGAGGATAGATGAGCCGGGAATGTGCTAGCACCGGACGTCCACATGCCTCTGCGGCACAGGCCTTGCCTTGCCTCGCCTTGCCAGCTGTCATGAAGGCAGTTGCCCGGCAGCTCGCCGCAGGAAGTTGTGCAGCACGAAGCAGAAGCCCATCAGGTGCGCGACGATAACACCGATGTGCATCCACAGATGCGAGTTGCCCTGACGAGCGTATGAGGAGCAGGGCAGGGCAAGGCAGGGCAGGGCACGGCGCAGTAACTCACTAGTTTTATAAAAAGAAGAATTACAAAAAACTGCGACTAATGTAAGGCGAGTATGTAACCTGTATGTGGTGTGCTGAAAGGACAGATTATTTCCAGCGTGGGAACTGCGAAATATGAACTGCGATGCTTTTGAAGGAGAGAAAAGATGTGACGTGCATCACATGGGGATGGTGCGCTATCCGGAACCCGGCGTGATGCCCTAACCGTGTTTCCTGTCGTACAGAGCCGTACAGGAGGGCGATCGACGTAATTGGCTGACCCGTGCGACAAGACCCGGCTCCTCGGTGCCGTGCAGGCACTCGCGGGTTTCTTAACAAGGTGGCCTCAGCGAACCCAACAAGTAATATCTCTTAACAGCCGCACCACCACCGGCAAGTCCGGTCGGATCCAGCTTCGCCTGGCGTAGTAGGGTCGCAGTAGGGTCGCACTACCCTCCACCCTCCCCCCTCTGCCCCGACGGGACGGGGCGCGGCAGGCAAGGGCATCTCCTTCCTGCCAGAGGACTGCAGAGCTCTACACCCCCGCGGAAACCTCATCATCAACAGCCATATCACCCGTCGCCAATGCCAATTTCCCAAGCAAACCTTGAATCCTACGAAACCAGTCCGCATGCCCATCCGTCTGCCTTTCTGTCTGTCTGCCTGTCTGCTGCTTTGTCCATCATCTCCCCGGGGAGCTTGGGTATATACCAAAGCAACAAAACACATGCGAAATCTAACATTGTGTTGTGGGTTAGGACTAAGAAGCTCCGGGTCTAACGGCCTGCGGTTACCGCCCAGACCACGTAGCGACAGCCCCATGCGTGGGGGCTAACCGGATGTCCGAAGGGGCCCCGCAGATAGCGCGCGTCGATAGCGGCTGAGATGTAGCTCTAATAATCCCAAAGCTATTTGAGACGCACCACGAGATCGAGCTTCCCGGGAAAAAAGCGCTCTGGAATGTGCAGCTCGTAGAGCTGTGCGCCCCCTACGAGCGATGTCGGTACAACGATGGCGGCAATGAAGGGCACACTGTACTCGCCGCGACGTCCATCTAGCACCGCTTGGTAGATGATAGGGAAATAGTAGCCTATGGCGGTTAGACCTATCCACCGGGTTACGTTGCCCCGCGTCAGCGGCATGCCCTCCTTCACGGAGCCGTAGATGGCGTGTATGCCCGCCGCTGACGCGAGAGACACCAGCGCTGTCGCCATAAGCGTGTGCCAAAGCTGCGGATAAACGAAGTATGACATGCCGTAGGTGAGCTGCACTGACATCATGAGGATGAACGACATGTCTAGACGTCGCCAAGTGTTATAAACTCCAACGGAAATCGGAAGGAATAAATGATACCCAACCGAGAATGGAAGGTGCACGATTAGAGACGTCCAATACATAACAAAGGCTGAGATGTCGTTGCCGCGAACGGAATAGTATGAGAAGGCAAAGACCATGGATCCTGTCGATAGCAAGGCGCCCAAAATCATTGTCCATGCGTTGAGGCACTCATTGTGAAGTACAAATAAGCTGCACGCGCAGGCCCAATATGTCCCGCCAAGCCGATAACCACTTATTATGTAAGGAAAATGAAGCCATTCTGGTACTTCTTCTGCACGCAAGTGGCATCTTAAACAAGACGTAGGTTCATTGCATGCGCTGGAACTAACACGCACGTCAATCGCAGGAGTGCAAGCTACCCCATTCGAGGGACGCTTCCTAAGCTCGGACATTATATCCGTCCTGCATCGCTGAACGCGTCATCGCACAAACGATGAGCAAACTTGAAATTCAACTTGCACGGCGTACCGTACTCGCCTATGACTGTCATATGCATATCCTTCCGGAAACCGCAGGATGCTTTCCGTTTGCAATTTTACAGCACGCAATGTGCCTTTATCAAAACGCCGCACCCAAGATCCAAGCGTTAGATTGTGTCGCAAAAGAGTATGCACGCCCGTATTTTACTACTTTGCTACTTTACTACAGCTGCTGTACGGCCCCGAGACAGCAACAAGAGTTAGGGCCTGCTAGGACCCCGCGCCAAGACGCGCCAAGACGCGCTCCAAGTCGGCCCTCCCTCGTCATCAGAACATCCACGTCCGCCAGCCGCAATGCGACTCTTGACTGATCGGTCAGCAACACGCAACAGGAGCCAGTTCCCTCCTCACTTGCGCGCTTCCATATCCATAGCCTTACATATCGCGAGACACATACACACACATGCAACCCTAAAACACACACACGCACACACATACAAAGATAAACCAAGTAAAAACACATTCCAAATTGTGAGCAGTACAGCCGCTCCACAGCTGAGCACAGCTCAGCTTAAAAGGAGGAGAAGCTCGCCGCTGCAACCCCACCGCCCTCGTCCCAATTCTGCTTTCACACTTCATCTCACTTGACACCATTCCACCCAAAATTGAAGCACTCTTATGCATGTGACCCTCCCAGCCACAGTCCACGACGTCTCCTTTCCGCCTAGGCCCTCCTCCCTCCACCGCAGCCCCCTCCCTAAACCCCCTCCCTAGCCCCCTCCCTAGCCCCCTCCCTAGCCCCCTCCCTAAACCCCCTCCCTAGCCCCCTCCCTAGCCCCCTCCCTAGACCCCCTCCCTAGACCCCTCCCTAGCCCCCTCCCTAGCCCCCTCCCTAGCCCCCTCCCTAGCCCCCTCCCTAGCCCCCTCCCTAAACCCCCTCCCTAGCCCCCTCCCTAGCCCCCTCCCTAGCCCCCTCCCTAGCCCCCTCCCTAGCCCCCTCCCTAGCCCCCTCCCTAAACCCCCTCCCTAGCCCCCTCCCTAGCCCCCTCCCTAGCCCCCTCCCTAGCCCCCTCCCTAGTCCCCCTTCTTGGTGGCCCCGATCATGGCCCACTGCTGGTCCGTGGCGACGAAGAAATCCCCGAACTGCCCCCGGAAGGCCTCCTGGATCTCCGGGACCTGCTCGTACAAGATGCCCGACAGCAATAGCCGCCCACCCGGCCGTACGTACCTATGTATGTACGTACGCGTGTGTGGGTATGCATGTGCGTTTGTGAGTATGTATGTATGTGTTTATCGGTGTGGTGGGAGGGGGTGAGGGGGTTAAATAATAAAGTAGGCGAGGTATGGGGAATGCGAGAACCCGGGCGTGGAGCGGAGGCCTTGATGACCGTGCCGATACACAGATTCACACTACATGCATGCCACACACACACACACAAACACACAAACACACAAACACACACACACACACAAACACACATGCAAACACACAAACACACGCACACACGCGCGCACATATCCCTGGGTAACCGTGTTTATATAGTCTGTAGTACGTGCGCACACTGTACGGCAACCCTAACCCTCAAAGACCAATCCCCAGCCCACCCCCTCTTTGCTACTCACCCCGCAAGCCTGGGCTGCAGCTCCACCAGCGGCCCCCGCAGAATGTTGGCGACCACCAAATCAAAACGAGGTGCCGCGGCCGGTGGAGGCGACGACGTAGGACGCGAACAGGATGGTGCTGACGGTGCTGCTGCTGATGATGGTGGTGATGAGAATGGTAATGTTGATGATGATGACGATGAGGAGGAGGAGGAGGGGGATGAGCCGACCTCGTTCCGCTGCGCGCTTTTCGCGGTCGTCCCCACCGCCTCCACTGCCGCCCCCACTGCCGCCCCCACTGCCGCCCCCACTGCCGCCCCCACTGCCGCCTCCACTGCCGCCTCCACTGCCGCCTCCACTGCCGCCTCCACTGCCGCCTCCTCCTCCGTCCCCAGCTGGAGCCGCTGTAGGGGCTCAGGTTCGTCGATTCCGGGCCCCACCTGCACCGCTATGAACACTGGTGGTTGGAAACCGTTGAGGGCGGCGTTCCGTTGAGCCGCCTTGACAGCCAGTGAGTCGATGTCGGTACCCACCTGGGAGCCAGGTTTTAGGGGTTTCGGGTTTTAGGGTTTTAGAGTTTTAATGGGTGAGTACCAGGGGGTGCGGACAGCGCGGGTTTGTATTGTGGGGGGAATTAGGGGCGAGTATCGGGTGGGTGGTGGGTAGGGTTGGGGTGGTTAGGGCCAGGGAGGGGTTGAAGAGCGGGGGAATGGGGTTGAGAAGGATAGGAGGTTGGAAGGGGAGGGAAGAGGCTGGCGGTGATGGTGCGGGGAGTGAGGTGAGTGTTCCTCAAAACCCAAAACACACGAACACACACACACACACACGGGTAAAGGGACAGACAACGAATGTACGAAACGCCGCAGCGAAAGCAGGCGTCATTAATCGGGGCTTACACACATATACGTACAAAATAGTCGGCCCCTACAAATCCCCTCCCCTCTTCCCCCCAGCCGCCAGAGCGCCAACCCAACCCGACCCTCCCCCCCATCATCATTCCAACCGCCATCCAACCGCCATCCCATGCCACAAGCCCGCCAAAACCACGAACCCGCCACATCCCGTCACCTCTTCTCCCCCCCCCATCCCCCCGACCTCACCGCCATTCTGGCTCCGTACTTGAGCGCCGCCAGCGCCAGCACCCCCGAGCCGCAGCCGTAGTCGCACACCTCCGCGCCCCGCAGCCGGCCCGCCACCCCCAGGCGCCTGAGCTCACCCAGGCACAGCCGGGTGGTGGGGTGCTCACCTGCGAGGTAGGGTGAGGTAGGGCGAGGTAGGGTGAGGTAGGGTGAGGTAGGGTAAGGTAGGGTGAGGTAGGGTGAGGTAGGGCGAGGTAGGGTGAGGTAGGGCGAGGTAGGGTGAGGTAGGGTGAGGTAGGGTGAGGTAGGGTGAGGTAGGGCGAGGTAGTGTGAGGTAGTGTGAGGTAGGGTGAGGTAGGGTGAGGTAGGGCGAGGTAGGGTGAGGTAGGGCGAGGTAGGGTGAGGTAGGGTGAGGTAGGGTGAGGTAGGGCGAGGTAGGGTGAGGTAGGGTGAGGTAGGGTGAGGTAGGGTGAGGTAGGGTGAGGTAGGGTGAGGTAGGGTGAGGTAGGGTGAGGTAGGGTGAGGTAGGGTGAGGTAGGGTGAGGTAGGGTGAGGTAGGGCGAGGTAGGGTGAGGTAGGGTGAGGTAGGGCGAGGTAGGGTGAGGTAGGGTGAGGTAGGGTGAGGTAGGGCGAGGTAGGGTGAGGTAGGGTGAGGTAGGGCGAGGTAGGGTGAGGTAGGGTGAGGTAGGGTGAGGTAGGGTGAGGTAGGGCGAGGTAGGGTGAGGTAGGGTGAGGTAGGGCGAGGTAGGGTGAGGTAGGGTGAGGTAGGGTGAGGTAGGGCGAGGTAGGGTGAGGTAGGGTGAGGTAGGGCGAGGTAGGGTGAGGTAGGGCGAGGTAGGGTGAGGTAGGGTGAGGTAGGGTGAGGTAGGATGAGGTAGGGCGAGGTAGGGTGAGGTAGGGTGAGGTAGGGTGAGGTAGGGTGAGGTAGGGTGGGTGTTCCAGGGAATGTTTAGGCAGGGGTGGGGGGATGTCTGCGCTTGGAACAAGATTATCTCAACTGCTACCGATGCTACTGCTACCGATGCTACTGCTACCCCTACTGCTACTGCTACCGATGCTACTGCTGCAAAGTACGGCGCAACTCGTTGTGTTCCAGAGTGACCTCAGGAGCCACCAGGCCCCAGCCAGCATAGCATGGAGGAGGGGTAGGGGGAGGAGGAGGAGGGGGGGTAGGGGGAGGAGGGGTTGTGGTAGGGATGGGAGGGAAGTGAGCCCAGGATGGGTCGTCACACACATACACACGAACACAACAAGACGTTGCCGGCTCTGTGGTATGCAATAATGCGGTGTACGACACCGTTCGTACATATTCCGTATTACTCACCGGTGCCGAAAGCCACTCCTGGCTGCAGGATGATGTTGGTTGCTGCGGGGTCCGCCGGCTCGGACCACTCGGGGACCACCCAGAGGTCCTCGCATATCCGCTGCGGGACGTAGCTGGCCTTGATCTGGATCCCAAAAGAGAAGGGGGGAAAGGGGGAAGGGGGGAAGAATCATATGACGGCGGTGGTGGTGATGATGGTAATGATGGTCATGATGGTAATGATAATGGTGCAAGAAGCGAAAGTAGGGGTTAAGAGGTAGAGGGGAAAGGGAGGATGACGTACGACAGGGGGATGATGATCAACGGTTATGGCATGGAGATGATTCCCACGACAACAACCCCCATAAGCACACGGTATTTAAAACCCAACACGGCGAGCGGAGGCTGGCTTCCCCGCCCGGTGCTGCCCTAATCTACCCCAACATCCCCCTCACCCTCACCCTCATCCCGCTACTGCCCCCACCTGATCGACCCACGCCTCATTCGCCACGGCCTCCACTCGGTACCGGATACCACCACCACCGCCACCACCACCACCACCACCACCGTGCTGCTGCTGCACCACCCCTGCTTCCTCCGGCAGCGGCCCCGTCCCCAGCCCTAGGCAGTCCAGCGCAACAGCCAGCGTGCCGTCCACGTCAGCCTGGGTCAGTACGGAGGGGAAGGGAAGGGGGGCCAGTGAGGACGAGAGAGAAAAGTGAGGAGAGGAGAGAACGTTGTTGCGGCAGATAGAGGGCTCTACCCTGAATCCCCCAGTGGACGTACAACGCCACCACAACCACCGCAACCACTACAACTACCACAACCACTTAGGAGCCACTTGACGCCATGTAAACGGCCCCATTACGATGAAGCTGATGATGACGATGGGACGACGACGACGACGACGCGGAGGAGGAGGGGAGCTGGCGAGTGTGTGTATGTATGTGTGTGTGTTGGGGGGGGGTATATGCAAGTGGAGGGGATTGGGGAACACACGCACACGCACATGCACAGAAGAAGCCCCACACGGGGTGTACCGTGCTCCGGTTCCCCAGGGGGGCATCCCACCGCCCTGAGGGGCATTACGTCGTCCTGTTCCTCACCGTGTGTGTGTATGATGTGTGAAACAGGGGGGTGTATCTTCGCCCGTGGCAGCTACCCTGCGAAACCCTGCCTTCCCCGGTATTTCGGGGCACCCTCATCCAGTCACCCTAGTCAACTTCTCAGTTGATCGCTCAGGTTCCGCACCCACCACCAGCATCCAACGGAATCTGCCGGGTCGACAGCGCCCCAACTCCATTCCTGGTCGACTCGTAGGTTAACTTTATCCCAGGTCACCACCGTCCATCGACTAGGGGCGCTTTACCTTCCACCATCGGAAGGATTTTGACCTTATTGGGTATCGATCCCGGGATCTCCCGGGGGCAATGGTCGCGCCTTACCAGTGGTGCCAAACCCTATATATGTGTATGTGTGTATGTATGTGTGTGTGATTGTGTGGCATGGGCGACAGTAGACCTCCTTCCTATCGCCATCTGACAGCGGAACAACGGGAACCCATCTTGGCGTACGGAGGATTCCCCCACCCACGCACCCACCATTACCCTAAAACCCTCATTCTCACCACCACCACCACCACCACCACCCCAGCCACCACCAACATTAACACCACCAGCACTACTCCCGCCGCGCCAAGGCAGCCCCCCTACCTCCAAGGGAAAGTACGCGAGGAGGTCGCACAGGTCCCACAGGTGCCCCGCGCCGTCGTCGTAGATCTCCTGCTCTGGAGCCCCGGGTGGGCGGTGCTCCTGCACGCTGACGTGTGCGCGTGCGTGCGGGTGGGTGTGCGGGTGTGTATGTGTTTTGGGGGAATGCGGGGTTATGGGTTGGGGAGATGGGAAGCAGCAAATAAGGGGCCGGGGTGGCATTGCGGGCCAGTTATGGTCGTGGTGCGCATGCAGGGGTCCTGTATAGGTAGTTCGAGGAGGGGGGGGTACTTGTTAGCTTAGTTTAGGGTTTTACGACTTTGTTAGTACGACATGACAGCGGCCAGGCATTCACCAACTCCCTTCATAATAGAATCCGCGGCTTGGGCATGGGTAGCCATCTGTTGCTGCTGGGCAATGGCTTGCATGCTCTGAACTTTGCGATCAATTTGACAAGATGATATTGGCGGTGTTTGACGTGGCAGCTTGGTGTCTCACGAGCTTGGTCGTATGTGTACGACATGATACGACGGCGTACGACTCACACGACGGACTGGGCGCCCATCGCCAGCAGTACATCGCCGAGCTCCTCCGCCAGGTCGCCGCTGACGCCGCTAACAACGCAGCAAAGGCAGGTTGCCTCTATCTCAGCAGGCGGTGGCGACACGGACGAAGACGACGACGACGACGACGCAATCGAGCGGACAATTGATATCGGCAGCAGTTGCTCCGATAAATTAACCGGGCCTCGGGGAAGCAAGACTGATGGTCTCCTGCGGCATCGCAGGTAATCAGGCACTTTTGAGAAGATGAGACTGTGGCCGCGCGGGACAGGGGACATGCACGAAAAGTTCCGTCCGGGACCAGTGGCATTGAGGCACAGGGAGAAAGTAATACTTACAGGATTTTATACATGTTTGGAGGTCCTATGTGCCTTCTGCAAAGGAAAGCCCTTGCTGCCGTCATCGGTTTCGGGCATGACCACTTGCGGGCGACAGCCGCCCTCAAGCTTGGTAATTGTTGCGCATACATACTTTTGCAGTTGCTTAAACAATAGGATTTAAATACTCTGTAAAATTTCATCCATCGGTTTTGCAGAGCTATCGGAAAAGTGGTCGCCGTCGGAGCCGTTAATTGTGACGCAAAGCGAGCCGCAATGCACATCAAACTCTAAACCTCATGAAACTCAACGCAGCGGTTGATTTCCGGAAATGTAAAGCAGATCTCGATGCCGGTGGATGACGGACCTAATTGAGACGAACCAGCGGTCAGTTACAAGCGCCGTACACACATATGGTTGGAGCGCTGGACGAGCATTTGCCCTAAAGTGCTTACTGACGCGCCATCGGAACGTTGCCACGAATCCAGCGTCAACGATGCTTGTAGGAAGAAGGTGCTGTAAAATGATAAGACAGTCCTGTCTCTTCCCTAAGCAAGTTTGGAAAGGTTTCAGCAGCTTACAAATAAGTTACAGCGCTGAGCCCTCGGGTACAGAGTGGACAGGGAAACGGCGAATAAACAGTGCAGTTCACTGTCCTATGAAATGGATTGTCCAAGCGGGACATGAACGTCATGGGACGCCAAAACGCATCCTGCACGCTAGATGACTTCGAGCGTTGTCCGTTTCGGCACCCACCACCCGCACATGCACGCACAATTATATACGCACACAGATACTTGTAACCTTCACACGCACACACATACATACACACAAACATACATACATACATACATACATACACCGACCACACTCCGTCCCGGAGGCTTCGGGGCAAAGTTCACATGTTTACCTCACGTCACAACCAATACATGGCCACGCTTGCCGCACGACGCGTAACCGATATGTAAATATGCAAAATTCCGTTGTACGACAGTGTGCACGACTTGTGTGCTAACTTGCCCCAAGGGCATGTGCGGGTGTTAAATTGGGGATATCGGACAGACCCAGCGTTGTAAGGAGTGGCCCATACCTTTGACACGACGGTAAAGAAAGAAAGGAACATCACACCAATATGCATGGCAGCGGAGAATGGACAGGAGGAACAACGATAACGTCAAACAAGTCGGTCACTAACTTTAAAAAGGACAAAACTCTTTCCGTTTGGGCCCGAACGAGACCGAAAAGTCCTCTTCCGGTACGTGGGGTCGAGCAAACACAACCCTTCGGGCAATTTACTGCCATACGAAAAAACTCCCAAAACACTTCGCAACACATGCACAACTTCGCAACATGCATCGAGTTTTATTTCCAGAACACATACGTGCCCTCACACCTCGCACATCACTCACATGCGCAGGAACTCAGGGCTCATTCACAAGTAACAAAGCTTGGCCTCCCGAATGCCGTACCACGTACGGACGATGAACTCTGACGATCGTACATAGAGAAGGAATCAGACGAACTGCCCTCTGCAACCACCACTGCAGCTCCAAGAGTCTGCCTGTATGTATGTATTCCCCACAGCTCGCATTTTTCAAATTTCGGCCACGTCAGTTCAAATATCACCAGAATCCCGCCACAACCTTAACCCACATCCGTTAAGGGCCCCCCTCCAGGACCTTAACCAGTTGTGATGGTGTCCTCAGCACCCAAAGGACTATGTGCAGGATCCAGATTGCTGGTTCCCTTCACTCGCCACGAATCCCGGGTGCGTGGAGCGACCTGCCGCCGCTGCTGCCGCCGCAGCTGCCTGCGGCGGCGCCGGCGGTGGCGACACATTGCCGCTGCTACCAAGCGCCGCCGTCGCCGCCGCCCCGGCCCGTTTACCAAGCTCCGGTAGCTGGTCTTCCACGTAGATAGCGTCGCCTACCACAGATACGGGTGGCGGCGTGAGCACGGGCGCGAGCACGGGCGTGGGGCGGCTTGGCGTGGCACAAGACTTACGGCAAATTGTAACCCAGCGCATAGTGCGGGGAGGAGGGAGGGGAACCACAGGACGGGACAGACGGAAATACAGACCGACACAGGCGGCACACGCTACAGGCGGGGCGTTTGAAATGGCAAGATCTTGACCAGTTAGTTAGTTATTTAGGGGTTATGGACAACCAACCGAAAAGAGAAAGCACCTTGCACGCAACCGTATTGCCGGGGATGCATGCGTACATACGTGCATAGACGCGCAACTCCCTCTCCACCGCGCACGCACATGCGCGCAAACCATTCTGGAGCCCTTTGAGGAAGAGAACCCGGAGCGGTTCTCCAGTAAACAACAACACACAGGATACAGATATCCAAACAAACGCACATCCAGGCACATATGCGCTCTGTTTCCTAAAGAAAACGACACACATACATACATACATACAGGCACTGAAGCGGAGCTCAAGGACGTCAAACTAAAAGTTATTTTTACAAGACTGGCACACCCCGAGAGAGAAAGCCCGCCCCCATGGTGCGTTGCGAACCCGCTGCTGCGTTACCCGCCGCCGCACATAAATAATCCACAACCAGAATACATAGAGAGACAAACAAACATTCAAACGCATACACAACAACAAGTGCCTCGACAGGCACCACGGCTCGGATTTCTTCGGACATGAAACAACAGACAACAAAAAAGTCGCACTCGCACACGGGGCATTCTCTTTTTCACCCGGCAATGTGTGTGAGACCGTGCAGGGACAGCCGCACATGCAGGACGCCACCTCCATATGCCACTAACTATAGCAACTACGAGGGGGAATAGCGAGAAGGCAGATTTCTTACACTTCTAGAACCTTCCCCGCCCCAGCCCACAGTCCACAGCCGCAGATTTTTGGCGCCCGGTGCAAATGGCGCGGCTACAGAGGTGCACACGAGAGCACCACGCTACGTTAACCCTCTGCTCTGGGTGTGTATATGTGTGTGTATCTGTCTGTGTGTATGCATGTGTGTATATGCGTGCGTGCGTGTGTGTGTATATGTGTATATGTGTGGGTGTGCCCCCATCGCTCTAATTTTCAAGGGGCGGCGCACTTTAAAATAGACAGCGGCTCCTGCAAGGGCATCCAGCGTGCACACAGGCACCTATGCGCCACGCATGCTGATGGAGACGCTGCTTCAACGCTTACAGCTTTGAACCACACCGGCTCCTCGATTTTTACAAACACTCACAAGCACTTACATGCTACATTATCGTAATAGGCAATCTTACCTTTCCCCCCCAACAAAATCCCTGACGGTCCCCCTCCCACACACACACAATTAACAGGAGCTCTTTACGAAGCGCTTCCCTTACCCCCTCACCTTCCTCCCCTCCTCATCTTCCTCCTCCTCCTCCTGCCCCTTTCCCCCCTACCCTACCGCACGCACCCTCCTGCACCCTTCTCCACGTCCCGGGGTCCCCCGCGGTATCACAACCTCACGCGGGCGGCTGCTGAGGTGGCGGATGTGGCTGTCCAGCCCCCTGTACACCGCTGCCCCCCTGAGCCTCCCGCTGTGCCTGATGCTGCTGCTGCCCGAAGTCCCAGGTGTCGATGGTGCTGAGGTTTAGGCTGAGGCCTACAACGCACATACATACATACATATATACAACGTGCATACGTACGCATACATACATACATGACGACCGCAATGACCGTCAGGTCACAATGTACCATAAAAAAACCACGTGGCGTCAAACAACAGCTGCAAAACATATTGGAGGGTAAAAGGCAGGAAAAAAGGAGAAGGGAGTGGCAGGCAACACTACCGCCACCACCTTCCCTCCGCGACCAACACGCACTGACTCACGCACACTCACCCACCGCCAGGGCACAAGCCCGCCAAAGCCAAGGACACAAAAATACAACGACACGGCAGATGTGCGGAGGGAGGTTTGTATACTCGAAGGACAGGAGACGACAAGACCCCTCGAACAAACCCCGAGCGCTCCGGCGGCACACATATCCAGATGGCTGGGGGGCGGGAGTGCGAGGGGCTGAGTGGCTGTGGGGCTGTGGGAAGCTGAGCCACCGCTGGGTTGAAGCCGACTTGGAGCCGGCCACGTCCCAAAACGTGGACACGGACTCCCCCATCCCCCTTTCCGCGGTGTGTGTGTGTGTGTGTGTTGGACGGTGGTGGTTGGGTGTGTGTGGGAGAATGGAAGAGGAGGAGGAGGAGGAGGAGGAGGTTATCACTCGCATTCACTTCCCAGCATCTCTTTCAGCCCGCCGTGGTGAGCTGCGGAGGGGACGAGGGGGGGGAGAGGGGGGGAGTAGGCGGGTATAATGCGGGTGCAAGAAGAAAACGTGTATAATGCGGGTGGGTGGTATTGTCTGGAATTGCATCACGTCACATCGCGGAAGGGAAGGGAAAGGAAAGGGGGTGGTAAGGGAGGGGAGGCCCTTGGAGGGGAATGGGCTCCGGGGGGGATGTTTTCGTGTTAAGGGGCAAGCAGCCTGAGGCAGGGCTGGTGGGCGATCACTTGCTGGGGTGTGGCACACGGCGCAGGGGAGGTGGGAGATGTGACTAGTGGGCTGCGGGTTTCGTGCCGTACATGCGAAACCTGTATCTTAGGTTGTCTCTGTGCGCGTGTCTGCGTGTGTTGGTGTGTCTGCGGTTGCCTTCATGGTATGCCTGTTCATGCAACGACACGTTAATTTATTCGGCTGCTAGTTGAACAGTGATATCGATGGATGTCAATACGGCGATAAGCACGTACCGCAGGTGACGGAAGCGGCGGTACCGCGGCGATGAATGTACAACGTACGTACCTCACCGTACAAGGGATCCGCCTCCAAGTCCGCTTCCTCAACGTTGAGCAGTAGCTTGGGGTTCCGGGCAATCATGGACACCGGATCCTGCGTGTTGTACCTGAGATGACGCATGCGGCGGCAGTACGGGTCCGTACGGTTCGGCGCCGTACGGTACGGAGTACGGTGAGTAACGGAGGGATCCCTTTTTCCGACTTCCCGAATACCCCCTCCTGACCGTGACCTACGTACTCTCCATAAATACCCGAACACCACCTATCCCAGTCACCTCCCCGAGTCCCCCGGCCACCGTACGTCGGTACGGTCGCGTTCGGGTAGCGTACGGATAGCGCACGCCGGTACGGCTGCCGTATAGTGCGGGTAGCGTACGTTGGTAGGTTGTCGCTTCACCTGCCGTGCCCTGAACCCCGCCACCCCAACCCCGGCCACTCGAGGCCAGATCGACCCACCATCGGCTGACATTAGCCAGGCTCTGCGCCAGTGCGGCTGGATCCATGAGGTACGGCACCTCTTCGATGATGGCGTCCGGGTTCGGAGCGGTGGATAACACCCGCCGTACCTTGAGGGGTTGGTAGCGATGGGCGATGGTGGGGGTTAGGGTTTTCGAAGGGTTGGGGGGTGTGATGGGGGGCAGGGTCGTGCTGTGTAGTGGTTGTGGCTGTGGTGGCGAGGTGTTAGTTCCAAACATCAAGCTATGTGATGCACCGGCCTCAACGAACGTGCGCCAAGTTAAGGATCCCGGTTCAATTCCCATGCAGGACACTTACCACCACCGCATCCGCTGAGACCGCCTCCGGAGTTTTCAATAGAATCTTGGGCGCCTTGGCTATAATGCGGCCAACGTTGGCTCCTACGACATAGAGTAGTTGGCAATCAAATCAACGGCGGACAACGGCGCCGTACGATGTCCTATGATGATTGCAACCCCATATGCGAACACGGGCCGTACAGACTGCCGTACACCACCCACCCACTGTGGGTGTGGCCAAGTGGGCGGTGGTGCGACTGGGTGGGATGCGTGTCCGAAAGGATCCTCCTTAAACCATGTGTGCTTCAATGGGGTTGAAGCACCATGGGAAGGTCTCAGGAGCATCCCTCGCCTCCGAAATACACACACACATATACATACATACATACACACACATATACATACATACATACATACACATGCACGGTGCTCATCACGGTGCCGTGTCGTACGGGACAAACGGACGCCACTACGGATACACACAGGAGAGAGACAAATCCATAGGGGCACGCACACACACACACACACACAATAGTCATATGCACTTTTGCCAAGGGTATATATACATATATGATGTATATACACGCATATAACAGACGCGTATATATGCATTATAGCAAACGGACAAAGAAACACCACGCCAGACACGGCAGGTGTGTGTCCCCTCCCCCGGGTCAACCCCGTCAAATGCCCTTTTCGCAGCTGCCCCCCCACCAGGCCCCCCTCCTCCCCCTCCCCCTTTCCGGCCGCCAGCAGCTCACCCGGGTAGAGGCTCTTGATGACGACCAACATGGTCGCCACCTGGGAGACAGAGGTGGTGGCGGAGGACGGGGAAGTATTATCAAAGACCCGGCAGCAGCAGCAGCAGCAGCAGCAGCGGCGACTGCTGCAGAGCTTTTGTCCGGGGTGCGGCGGCTCGGGGTGTTTGCAATTTCATCGCAAAAGTGGGACACAACAAGCACACACACACAGACACACGCGGATGCGCCGGCACATGGTAGCTGACGTGTTTTTCCTTAGCTTCCTTGATGCAGTGCAGTGCAGTGCCGACTTGGCAGTGCCCCGGCTCGGAGCTCACACCCGGTTTCCTTTCCCCTCCCTTCCCCTCCCCTCCCCTCCCCTCCCCGAGGACGGCTTTCTGGCACGGCTTCGTTTTCCCGCCCTCCCCAACTCCTACACACATATATACACACACACACGCCGCATCAGTCTCCTCAACCATCCGGGGGGTCTTCTCCCGCACCTGGTTGACGTCCTTGGCCAGCTTCGCCTGCAGACCGGCGTGCGCGCCATGCCGGGGAGTAGGCGGACGACAGACAAGGGTGGATATCTCCAAATGGTGTTTTTTTTCCTCCCCAACTCCGTCACTCCGTCCACTCCTCCCTTCCTGTCATCCCCCCCCCACTCCTCCAGTCCCCCGTCCTTGCATTCACATCTCTCTCAACTAAACTGCCGTACATCCCGCGGCCCGCAGCTATAACTTGAACTTTGAATGTACTACCCCTGATCTCCCTCCCCCAATCTCTGAACTCCCCCCTTCTCCTGCACTACTCACCCAGTCTCCTGCCCTCATTTTGCTGACGTCTGGAGTCAGCTCCGGCAGCAGCTGCTCCAGTCGGTCGAGATTGTCACGAAGCAGTTGCTCGGAGATGCCCTGGCGCCGACCAGCCTGAGCAGGAAGAGGATGGAGGAGGTGGGATGCGGTTGAGAGTAGGAGTGAGGGGAAAGTGAGGGGGTAGTCGCCGGTTGGGCGAAGCGGCCGACCGGAAGCGTGAGTTGGTGGCGGGTGAAAAGGGTGGGTGGCTTGGTGAGCGAGTTGGTGGGTGAAATGGGGGATGGGGTTTTAGGGGGGGTAGGGAGGTTGATAGGCGCACGGGGATGGTCGATGGGTAGGCCGGCAGGTAGGTCGGCAGATAGGTAGAGGTGGGGGCATAGCCTGCAGTGAAGTTGGTCGTGTTGGGTGGGAGAGGAGACTGACGACCTCACTGCGGAATGAGATTGGGAACCACCTGGGAGCCGTAGATGACTGATTCTCGCGAGGCCGGCCAGGTGACGAAGTAGATGCATGCTAGGATTCGTGAGGGTCGAGCTTCATGAGTAGAGGCCACGTCTGGCGCTTTTATCGGTGAGAACAGCAGCCGGGAATGAAGCTATCTCAATTGCGGGAGTTGTTTCTTGAGCTGTGCAAGCTTATCACCTCGACAATTTCGGCAACGACGCGGTCCCTGCGCCTCTTTGCATGGTCGAGCTGCTTTAGTCCAGAAAGCGGCTTTGTTGATCCGTAATAGTGGCCAAGGGTGTAGCGGCGGTCGTCGTCGCTGGACGCTGACGCCGGTGCTGGGCTTGCTCCTTCTGTCGGATAAAATCGCGTGAGCTAATCAAAGGGATATAAAAGAGACCACGTAATGAGAAACCTCACCCTGCTCATCATTTGATTGCGCTTGACAAGGTGCAAATCGATGCCGGAAGTTCCTAGGGTTGGTAAGGGCCGACGGCCTGCAGCCACAAGACATCGTCCGCACGAGATACATACTTCAAATGTAAGGACATTGGGTAGGAATTGCTCGCTGGTACAAGTCAGCCATTACTAGCGTTGGTTCTGGAGCGGAAATACGTTAAAGCACAACCGAATAGCTGGTGAATTATGATGAGGACTGCAGCTTGTAAGTGCTATGTACATCTGGACTTTGGAAATCCAGGCCTAACAACAGAAGAGCCTGTCCTTGGTCGGTGGAAGTTCTTGTTGCTGCTGCCTTTAAAGTCCTCCTTGGGTTTTGTTACATAGCTTGCCGTTAATATGCGGTGTTATAAGCTCTCCTCACATTATATTTAAATATATACGAGAAAGGGCTTGCAGAAACCTCGGTTATTCTGGTTCGGTAAAGTGGTCGCCCTGGACGCACTCGCACATGGACCTCGAGCACTGAACGCCTCGCACGAAACTACTTCCATGTTGTGTATCAAATTATCATTTTTACGGCTATGCAGGCATGCAAGCACGCCAAGCCCGAGTGTGCAAGGTTTAGGACAGGACCAAGCACGGAAGTTGTGTTATCAAACGAGATTTCTGTATTGATGTTTCCGTGGATACAAATCCAACTGATTTCAACAAAGCTGAAAGAGTACTTCCCGTCAGGCTGGATGTGCATGACAGAAGGGCACGTTGGGAGATGTTGTTCTTGCTCGGGATGCTCTAAATGTGGTTAGGATCGCATACTCAGATAGGCTTTGTGTGCAGAACAGGCTAACATGGTTTATTCGGACACCAGCAGCAGTAAGCAAGGCCAAGTTTGGAGCGGCGCCGGTTAAGCCGCGTACAGCCGAGAATGTACCGCCGAGCCGCCGAGCCGAGCCGCAACTCATTTAGGTGCCAGGGCAAATCTGGCTGAGCTGCTGACCGATGACGGATGGATCTTTACCACGGACATACAGATGTAATGGAACGGCTCAAGGCCCCCGAGACGCGATACAAGGGCTACGCGGATGTACATGTGCAGAAACTGTGGGGAGCTTTCCAAGACTTCAAACAAAAACCTGATATGCCCTTTAGGAAATACATTAAGGTGCTGTATGATGTATGTAAACTGCGAGCTCAAGGAAAGCGGTCAAGCCGTAACTGACGCTAACGCCGTGTAAGGCGCAAGGGTCTACGGCCAGAATGCAAGCGGTATATCGCACCGTACTACTCCATCAAGGATACAATGCCGGAAAACCTGGCCGAGCTCGAGGCCAACCTGAGAGGCGGAGATCGAGGCATCGACATCGGCTGAGGTTACACCTCTAGTGCTCTACATCGGCAAGGGCAACAGCAACGGAGTTAAGTACAAGGGCAGCAACAACAGCCACAGGGGCGGCAACAACAGCCACAGGGGTGGCAACGACAACGCTAACTTTGGTGGAAGGTGCTACAACTGCAAAGAGCGCGGTCACTGAGCGTCTGAATGCCCCAAGCCCAAGAAGTACTGCAGCGTCTGCAGGAAGTTGGGCCACTTTGCTGAAGAATGCCGCAGGGTGGGTCGCAACGGTGATGGTGGCACAGGAGCCGCCAAGGTTGAGTGACAGCTGTCCATGCTGGAGCCATGCAACCAGCAAGATTTGTCTGCTGCAGAAAATTTTGGGCACGAACGACGGCTCTAGCAGAGCAAGAGCCTGCACCAGTTCTTGCCAACCAGACAACGGCAGAACAAGGCAAGGAGGAGGAGACCTGGTACCTCGACACTGGGGCTGCCTACCATGCCACGCCAGACGTGCAGACTCTCTATGACTACAAACTGTGTGAGCCGATTGCTTTGAAGTGTGGTGGTGGGGAGATCCACTACATGGTGGGGTATGGGGATGTAGTGTTGGAGATTCCTTATGCCTCTGGGTCTAATTCTGACTCCACAAGCCGTAATTACCACCGGCCTAAGGGGTCTTTGCTGATTATTATTAAAACCGTGTCCTATGTGCCGGGTTTTAAGTTCCGGTTAATATCGTTGAAGCAGCTAACAATAACGGGTGCCACCCTTGACGGGAGTGGGTGCAGCCTTTACATTCTGAACAAGGAGGAAGGCTGGCCAACCCGGTCATCTTACCCTGTCAACTCTGCATGCTGTAGTGGTGAAGGAAAGGAAGTCACGTCACACCGCTTCCCGATTGCAGCAGTCCACTGTGTTGCAGGCCTTGCTCAGCTATGGCACTCACCCTTTGCCCACCTGAGCTATGGTAACACGGCACACTTGGCTGACGAGGATATGGTCCAAGGCCTTGGTGTGACAGCAGTGAAGTTCTGGGGGGCTGGTTCGTGTGTGTGTGAAGGTTGTGTCATGGGTAAACACGCAAAGAGGCCTTTGATGGACTCACAATCAAATGTGAGTCGGTCCATGGAGCGTGGGCCGACATCGATAGAGTCCTATGGGGCACGAGCTATGTTGCCGTGTTCCTAGATGAATACTCGGGACTGTCAACAGTGTTGTTGTCGAAGGAAGAGAGTGATGCAAGTGCGACAATTGAAGTTACCCTCAACACCACACCACTGTGGGCATAAGGTTAAGGAAGTTTACAGAGACCGTGGGAGGGACCTATCTTGGCAGAATACCTGAGGAAATGGGGTATAGTACACCAAACCTCCACACCATACATGCTGCAGCAGAATGGCAGGGCAGAGCGGCTAAACAGGATGCTAATGGAGAAAGTTCGATGCATGCTAGTCAAAAGTGGGCTTCCTATGAAGGCCTGAGCGTAATCACACATGCAACAGGCAGCCTGAATTGCAAATGTCCAGGCTTTGTAGGAAGCCCACTTTCGACTAGCATACATCAAACTCTGTCCATTAGCATCCGATTTAGCCGTTCTGGCCTATCATTCTGCTGCGGTGTGTAGGGTGTGGATGTTTGGTGAACTATACCCTGTTTCCCGAGGTATTCTCCCATGACCGAGTTTAAGTACTCCCACAGTCCATGCAAACTTCCTTAACCTTGTACCTGCACTGCTGCTCCACGGGTAACTTAAATTGTCACACTTGCATCACATTTTTTCTTCAACAGCACAACTGCTGACCATCCTAAGCATTCATCTAGGAACATGGCAACATAGCTTGCACCCCCATATGACTCAACTGACATCGGCCCACACAGGTCCATGTGTACACGCTCCATGGGCCAGCTCACACTTGATTGTGAGTTTGGGATGTTATGGCTCTCACTGTGGTGTCAGCTATGGAGCAGAGGTGGTGGGCTGTGGTGGGCACGAGGTTAGGGGCCATGAGGCCAGGGGCCATGAAATGGGAGCCAGCAGGTCTGGAGAGGATGTTGGAGCATATGTGGGCTCATCACAACTCAGTTATCCCCTTTGGGCGCTATTCTGGGCTGATAGTGCGGTGTTTCTTACATGCCTTTCAGGCGTTGTAGTATTGCCCTTGGGCCTTCGGCTCTTTTGAGTAGTTTTACAGGTATGGGGTCACGCACCCCCCAACCATGTAACACACACACATAACAATACATAAACTCACAATCCTACGGGATCTCAAACAACCAGAATCCTACGGAATATGCCCGGGGGGTGCATGAGGATGTTCGCTCCAGAGGGGAGGAATGTAAGAAGAGTTCAGCTCCCTTGGCATCTCCCTGAGTATTCCTTGCCTGGTGTTACACATGCCGAGGTTCATGATGGTACAAGGTACGTAATTTGAAGCACTAAGAAGCGGGGTGCACTCTTATGCATCCTGCAGCGGTGATGGTGTTGAGGTTCTGTACTGCGTACTCGTGTGGTTTGTTGCAGCAGTTGGTGATGCCAGCAGTGTACGGTCTCCATCTTCTTTCATAACCGCCATCTTTGGCAGTGGCAGTGGCGTTGCCGTGATTCCACTGAGACACTACTAACCGGACGGGGCATGGAAGGGCCTGGACTTGCTGGGATCTGTAAGTGGATATGAGGAGAGGAGTTGAGGCGGCGATGACGGGAGATGCAGGCCCCGGGATTTGGAGGTCCAAATGCCACGCTGGGTGGCGATCACGACTTGGGTGGCTGCAGCAGTGGCTTTGTCTGTTACGAGCTTCTGGGGCTTTGACCCGGGAGGCTCATGGACCACTGGACTTAGCAAGCAGAAAAACAGGACGAACAGTAGAAGAAACTAGAGACATAATAAACAAATTATGCGTAGGACTAGATAAATAACTAGACATGCAAGCGGGATCCTCCATTCCCTCCGTCCAGTTGCCTGATGATGCGTAGAGGAAAGGAAACAATGGGGGATAATAAGAGGAAGGCAGGACAGGCTGGCGTGTACAGCAGCCGAACCCAGCAGCCAACACCCGCTGAAGGAAGGAAGGGGCGAGCGAGGCAACTAAAATGCTCTGCCTTGCCATCGTTCCAAAACCAGATGTGATAATCCTTCGGGCGTATGTTAATAAGAAGCACAAAGCTGCACGACAACCCCTACAGGATAATAAAGCTCAATCATCATGTATTCTGCGGTGTCCTAATCTGAAAGTACGAACGGGAATACCTGAATGCCGTTTGGCTGGCTGCTTTTCTATGTTTGTGGTTGTTACAGTGGGCTTCAGACTTGCAAGAATAGAGCCAGCTGGCTAGCTTGCCATGCAGTGCACCTGAGACGATCAGGGCAGACAAGACGCCCACCCGGACCAGGCAACGCAAGTGTCACCTCGACAGCAGAAAGTGAATCCAAAGGGAAGGCTCAGAAACCCACAACCACTGGGAGATTTTCCAACAGGCTCTCCAAATTGGTGAAAGTCCTGGGATAGCCACCAGAGGGCCCACCAGCAACTACTGGGCCCACCAGCAACTACTGATACGCAAGTAGTGACAAATACTGACACGCACCATTGCCCCGAGAGATCCCCGGATCGTTACCTGTCAAGGTCGAAAATCCTTCCGATGGTGGAAGGTAAAGCGGCCCTAGTCGATGGACGGTGGTGACCTGGGATAGAATTGACTTACGAGCTGACCAGGAATGGAATGAGCCGCCGTCGATCCGCGGCAGATTCCGTTGGATGTCGGTGGTGGGTGCAGAACCTAGGCGATCCACTGAGAAGTTGACTAGGGTAACTAGATGAGGGTGCCCCGAGGGTGCCCCGATGAGGGTGCCCCGGGTGCCCTGCGGGGAAGGCAGGGTTTCGCTAGGTAGCGGCCACAGGTGAAGATATACCCCCCTGTCCCACACATCACACAACATATCACTGACAGGAACTTGCATGTTGTTATTAGGTGAGGTCTGTGCCCCCAAAAGCATCCAAATAAAAGAAATCAAAATAAATCGAAACAGGTGATAGCTAATTGTCCATTGTTGGCCACTCCTGTAAACATAACAACTTGTCTGACACAATTCGCAAGGAGGGGTGATGTGACCCGACAGGATCCCAACCTTCAGATGATCCTGCGAGGAAGAGACCTGCATTAGCTCTCAGGTTTGGAGAGTCAGCAATGTACCGTTGTCTATGCATGGCGATCTTAAGCTAGGCAACCCGCCGGCAGAGGCTCGCTTGGCAGCGGGGTAGCTTCAAATACACCTATCAGCTACACGCAACCCTTCTGACTGTGACTGGCGGCGCCAGTTACGACGTTTGTCTTTCCTTGGTTGCGCTCAATCAGGTAGTTGAATTCTATTCCCATCACCATCAGCCCACGAGCCTGTACTACTGCAGTTTATTTGCGCAGCAGTTGCATGCCGAACTTGGGCATGGCCGAATTAACCGTCCAGATATTGACTGGTGCGGACAACACCTGAGGCATGACACAGGGAGGTTGTGCGTGCGCAACTGCCAACATCTCCCATCATGCATGGTATGTCGGCATTATTAAACGAAAGCGAGCTGCTTGCGCCTTTCGGAGTAAGGATGGCCTGTCCTTTGCCGTTTTGGATCTGGGACAGTCAAGCAACGGGACGCCACCAGTTGAATAGTCAGACCAATCAGTCAGACCAATCCAGAGTCAGACCAATCCGTGGCTATACTGTAAAAGGCAATTTGGCGTCCGGCTGAGGACGGACGCACTAGTCTTTAATTGCTTGGAAAGCCTGGGTGGAAAGCCTGGGTGCATTAATTGTCCCAGCCTTACGATGCTACAGCTGCCAAACGTAATTTGTTAGATGGGAGACTGTAGCCAGGGCTAGTGCAGCTGTACACTACGGCGTCGGTAGTGGTGCGCTGGGTTTCCCTCGAGCCGACGGATGGGATGGGGCTGCGGGATTTGCCCGTGTGGGGCTGCAGTGGGCTGTGGCGGGCGCGAACTTAGGGAGGCAATTGTCCTCAGTTGTTTGCAGTCGCCTGCAATCATCTGTGATCTGCCTATAACAACCCAAGGAGGTGCATGAGGCTTGTATGTTGCCGGGCCTGGTACACAGCTTTACTAGAGTTACGTTCGAAGCACTGCGATGCGGGCATCTATCGAGGTCTATCGTCATTCGCACAGATTGTTATAGGCGAACAAGCACCCCTTGAGGAAAGTTAGAACATAATGCAGGATTGTACGCCCTGCTTCCTCCAAAGCCTGTTGGCGCAATATTGGCCCTGAGGATGCCGTTTAATGTCCCGAAATGACTTCAGGTTTGCTAGGTTTGCCAAAAGCGCCTAGGAGCGCCTAGGAGCACGAAGGAGCACAGAGCTTCATGCTGTTTCGCTCGGCCGAAACCATGCGTCAGCTCATTTTTATCTTGTGGAAACCCGTTTCTCCTTGCTCCCGCGCGAGGATTCGAAAAATTCTCGCCCACCAGGCCGAAATGACGTCCGTACAGTGCCTTTTCATCCTTCCATTGCGCTTGTCAGCGTTTTTCGAAAACCTGGTCTATGATCAAGTCACCTAAAAAATTAAATCTGCATACCATAATAAAAAGGAACGCTCGCCATGTTCAGATCAGACACCAGCAAACGCTTCGGGAGTTTCGGGTCGCACCGAAACTACCGAAAACAGAAATCGAGTTCCCGAAGCCGCCCGGCTTGCAGAAATAGGATCATACGCCGTATACGAAAGGTGTTACGCAGGAGGGTAGGCAACTGGCCTCAATCCTAACCACCCCTTGGTCTCAATCCGAAAGTGTAAACTCAATCCAAGGGGTCTCAATCTCAATCCCCTGTTGTGTCAATCTCAATCCCCTGTTGTGTCAATCTCAATCCCCTGTTGTGTCAATCTCAATCCCCTGTTGTGTCAATCTCAATCCCCTGTTGTGTCAATCTCAATCCCCTGTTGGTCTATCTCAATCCCCCCGTGAGGCAATCTCAATCCCCTCATAGGGCAATCTCAATCCCCTCGTGGTCAATCTCAATCCCTTTGAGGTTTCTATCCCAAACCCTCCCACGTCAAGCTGACCAGCTGAAGGTTGCCTCCAAGTCGTTTAGCGCATATTATTATCTCATAGACTGGGCAAAGTCGAGCATTTTGCAAGCAGGGTATCCATTTTAACACAGGCAGGTTGGCAGGCGGTTCATTCTACAAGCATCGTACGACACTAAAGGGCCGCATCGACTTATCTGGCCCCGTACCGTTCCGAACAACGGCGCGCACACACACACCCTACGAATGAACAACAATCATGCTGCGGGGGGGGGGGGGCGCGTTGTTGACCCAACCCGCGAAGCTAGTTGCGCATGCCGTCAGCGCACAGTCCCCGATGCCCCTCCTTATTCACGTTACGGCACAAACGGCGACAAAAGCGTACAGGTAGGCAGGCGGTTCATTCTACAAGCATCGTACGACACTAAAGGGCCGCATCGACTTATCTGGCCCCGTACCGTTCCGAACAACGGCGCGCACACACACACCCTACGAATGCACAACAATCATGCTGCGGGGGGGGGGGGGGGCCCGCGTTGTTGCCCCAACCCGCGAAGCTAGTCGCGCATGCCGTCAGCGCACAGTCCCCGACGCCCCTCCTTATTCACGTTACGGCACAAACGGCGACAAAAGTGTACAGGTAGGCAGGCGGTTCATTCTACAAGCATCGTACGACACTAAAGGGCCGCATTGAACAACGGCACACACGTCACAATCTCCGAATGCACACACGCCTAGATCATGCTGCGAGGGGGGGCGTTGTTGCCCCAACCCATGTAGCCTGCCATGCATGCCGTCAGCGCCCCGCCACTCTCACGTACAAACGGCGACGTTGCATCGAACGAGGCAGTAGCCTCTCGACCGGAAGGCCAACAGGTCATGCGTTGTGGGGCACTTTCTTGTACCTCGGCCGACCGCGGGTGCTGTGTCCGACCGGTACCGGCATGGGCCTTTCCAGCACACTGTTCAAGTCCGCCAAAGTGTCTGGGTCCATGTCCCGTTGTAGCTTCCGCTGGCGGAGCCCCTCGGGCTTAGGCGCCGCCCTGCCCTTTCCACGCCGCCTCCTCGGTTCATCCCCCTCTCCATCGTCGAGGGTGCACTGGTTGGCGGTGCAGTACGCACGCAGCGCCTGCAGGGTACACGAAAGTATCCTGTAAGCCGACTTGTGCCACCGATACAACTGTCTGTCATCGACTACACACACCTGCGTGTCCTGTTGGTCCAGGTTGTAGTTGCCGCCTAGGATGGCGTCCGGGCCAGGGGTCATGCACACGATTTGGACGATGGACTTGGTCTCCCACAGCTCGTTCGGGTCCCGGTCGACCGCGTGTGGTAGGAAGTATTGTCCGCTTGCGCCTACATACAGGTTCCGAGTCATTAGCCCCAAGGCGCTTGCATTCCACCCGCACAGATGACTGCCTCACCGGTTTGCGAAGGGTGTAGAAGGCGGAGCAGCAACCTGCCATCTGGGTTACCGATGTCAAGCCGCCTGGTGGTAGACAGGCGAGAACGGGCTGCACCCCTGCCACGCCCCTGGGGGCAGAGCAGCCCCTCCACCAGGGCCACACGCACTACTGCGCGGCCCTCCACCTCCTCCAGCACGGCCACATAGTCGCCGTCTGAAAGGTGATCCTCGTCACCCTCGTTCAGCAACATGACAGCCTCACGCATGTCGACACCCCAAAACCTGCCACGGATACGGTCACGGGGTTGACGGGCGATGCAAGCATTGAACCGCCGTGTGAACACGCGCAAGGCCAGCAGTATGCTGACATCACGCGGCCGCTTCAGCAGGCGTCCACGCTCTCCTCCGTCGGAGTCAGACTGGTCGTCATCGCGCGCCTCCTCGCCGCCTGCAGGTTCCTCACCGCCCACAGGTTCCTCAACACCCGCATGTTCCTCGCCGCCCGCGGGTTCTTCACCGCCCGCGGGTTCCTCGCCGCCCGCGGGTTCCTCACCGCCCACGGTTCCTTCGCCGACCACGGGACCCTCGCCAGCCACCTCGCCGCTCTCACCGCCAGCGCGACCCGCGGCCTCATCCCGTGTGTTCATGGTGTCGCTGGCTGCTGCGGGTGTTGCAAGAGGGCATATTGTGCCCGTGGTGTCGTCTCATACAGGAACTATGAACAGCTAGCCAACAAATGGAACACTGATCGCAACCGCTGTTGCATTAGACAATGCAAGGCCCCTTCTTGATGCCCACCTCTGGGCCCCACTTCGTCATCACTCTCGTCATCCTCGCCATCTCCGCTGTACTCGATCTCCTCAGGCAGGTCATCGGAACATGCAGGGCCCCCCCGCCTGGCTGGCTGGCCGCCTTCACCGGTGACGGAAACGGTCCCCAGCAGGTGCATGTGGTCCTGTCCCAGCTTGACTCCGGTGACGGGTTTGGTGGCGATGCTCCATACGCTATCCGGGCGGACGGTCCCCGCCATCTCACCGATGTCCATTGTCAGGAGCGCTTGGACCTGAAGGGAGGGTGGGGACGGGGGTGTTGCTGAAAACGTTTGTGCCAAAGTGCATGGACAAACACGCAGGGGTAAAGGTTCGCTTTACAAAAGCCTGGACTCAGTATCGCCGTTGTGGCAGGTGCTCCTATAGGTGCATCCATATTCTACGATTCAAGTCACATCACAACATGTCTGACGCACCTCCTCGAGTCCCGCGTTGATTGCGGCAGTGACACTGTTGTCGTCGGGGTAGTAAGCACGGATGGCCGCGACTGCGGGCTCCCCCATGGCCTGTTGAAAGGGAAGATAGTGGTTAGGGTGGGGTACTCTGTGCTCTGTTGGGGGATACCGTATTAGGGCAAATGCAAGCAAGGACATATACGCACGAACCCCGAATGCATAGTATGACACTCACGCAGGGGACTGTGTTGTCGCCCCGTCCCGCATAGCCAACAATGTAAGTCGTCAGTACTCAGGCACGTCACGTCGCGAAGACGGTACTGGCAAAGAAGTTACTCAGGTAATGGGGCACATGGTTGCTATGAACGGGTGGCCAGGCCTACTTCTGGGACGAATGCCCTGGCCTTCCCACGTGAAGCTCCACGTTTCGCGTCGGGCACAACCAGCTCTGACGCGGCCTCTGTTGACTGCTGTACGGGGACGTTGCGCAGGAGCTCCTCTGCTCTCAACATCCCGAACACGCAGGATGTCTTGTCCGCGCACCGAAGGGACTGGAAGGTGTGCTCGGCGGGGCGACTACCCAGCTGGCCAAAGCAGATCCTCACCATTACCTACGAAAGGGAGCCAAAGGCAGGACCAATCAACGTATATCCTGGACGGAGATTGCGGAGCCGAAAACGCTGTGAAGACCGGGGGGTAACTGGGTGGCGCCAGGACAGTCGATTGTGTCACTTTTGCAGGAGCTTGGTTGTGGCGCATCTAAGTGAATGTGGTGTGTATCAAGCCTGTTGCTGGCGGTCCCTATCTACCCTTCCCTTGAAACACCTACCTTGCGCTCCAGGCAGTACTCCCGCATGTACACGGCCGCGAGGATGACGTTGTTGCATGCGATGATGATGTCCTGCCGTGTCTCGTTAGTCAGGAAGTGGGCCTTGAGGTGGGCCCTGATGTCGTGCGCGCGTGAAGTCTTGCTGGTCTTGTGAAGGCTGGTCTCCCAGTG